AATACAGAAATGTATTTCCCGCACCCCTCAGAAGCAGTGCAAAGGCTTGGGGAAGTCAGGGGTATTGGAGGACCTGAGAGAGAGGGAAGAAATTGCTGGGAAGGGCCCTGGGAGTGAACCTGGAGGGTTTTTGGGTGTGGGTGGGAGAAGTATGGAACAGGGTTTTTTCTTGGGGAGGGGAGAGAAGATTGTTAGGGAACTGGGGATTCCTGGCTGACCCTTAGCCTCTCCCATTCAGTCAGGCACATCTGTCCCATTCCCCATGTGTCAGTGCCCTCCTCCAACCCCCCCATCCCCATGTGTCCCTGCAGCCCCACTCAGCCACCCCTCCTCCCTCATCCCCATGTGTCCCTGTGCCCCCACTCATCCATCCCCTCGCCCCTTTCCCCATGTGTCCCTGCACCCCTACTCAGCTACCCCTTCCCCATCCCCATGTTGCCCTGCACCCCCACTCCCATTCAGCCCCTGCCCCAGTCTATCCCCTCCACTAGCCCTTCTGAACCCCAGTTTATGTGACTGCCCCAGCAGCCCTGTATGCCCTGTTGTCTGTCCCCCCATATCCCATGCCTCCTTATCTGGCCCCACGGGGAGAGCACCATGAGGAATATAGCCTCTCCTCCTCTCTCACTGCGGCTGGCTGAATCAGCTACCCTCTGTTCTGGCATCACAGCAGCCCTGGTGGTGCACTGCCTCTCAAGCAAAAGGTATTTTCTGCAGAGAAAAAAAATCTGCGGGGGAACTGAATTCTATGCATGTGCAATTGTGCAGAATTCCCCCAGGAGTAAATTTGGGGAACTCTTGCTTATGTTCCAAATTCCAAGCAGCACAGTGATAAAGTGCTTTCTGGTTAGTGTTTTTATTCCCTTCCCCCAGAGTTCAAATTGATGGGACAAGTGTTAGTGCCTGTTTCCTCTTCATGAGTATGGGGGAGGAGGGGGGGAAGGGAAGGGCAACCAACAAATTCTTTGTCCTTTGATATTTCACAATGGCACATTTGGTTCAAAAGGCCTTCTTGTGAAACCACTTCACATTCATTAATGCTTCTTTCCTGTTTGGTGAGTTACACAATTGCAGAGGTTTACAATGCAAACACTCAATATAACTTCATACTACGTGCTAAAGATGTTATAAGTAAGATCAATACATGCAGCATCCTACAAGCATTTCATCAAGTCTAAACACATTCTTATCACACTAAATACATTCTTATTAACTTAACATCTATTTTAACAATGCTAACAAACAGGTAAGCCAGGATGGTTTCCAGCTATGCATTTGGAAGTGTTCATTGAGGCTTAGGGACCTTGGCATGAGCTGGCATCTGGTCTGCCAGCACCACAAGACTCTCTCAATCTCTCCTGTTGAAGCTGTTCCACTTTGAATAACAACTCAGTCATAAGGCCAGAGTTGAGAATGACTGTATAGCTGGTGGTTAGAGCATCCCCTCGGGAGGTGGGTGACACAGAGTTCAGTCCCCCTGCTCCAATGACCCCTTCATTATTTATAAAAGGTGACTGTGAAACAGCTTCAGCAGGTAAGATTCAGTAAATCCCACATCAGCACAGCCCATAACTTAATGGTTTGGGCACATGCCTCCATCAAGCAGAAGGGAGAACTGAACCTGGGTCTCCCACCTCTCAGGTGAGTGCTTTAATCAATAGGCTAAAAGTTATAAGGTCACCACTTCCTCTTTTGACCATTTTGTGTGGAATGAGCAGGTGTCTCACTCATTCCCACTAGAAACAATTTAGGTACCTAAACTGCCTGACTCCAGGAGAGGGGTTCCTAGCTCTGGATTGCAAACAGAAATAGGGACACTCCCTGAAGCCTGGATTTAGGCACCAAACTCCTTAGAAGGCTTAGGCCACGCTGCTCTCTTTAGTATCTCCCACTGGTAAGTGTAGACAGCTTCCTGTCTAGCATGCTCGTGTAACCCACACACCTTCTGTCCCATCCAGTGGCACCGAGACCACTTAGAGAGAGAGAGATAAAATGAGTCTGCTCTACAGCCTTAGCTAACAGTCAGTTGGCTTTTAGCTCATGCAGTAGAGCAGGGGTGGTCAACCTGTGGCTCCGGAGCCGCATGCGGCTCTTCAGAAGTTAATATGCAGGTATTATGTATAGGCACCGACTCCAGGGCTGGAGCTACAGGCACCAACTTTCCAATGTGCTGGGGGGTGCTCACTGCTCAACCCCTGGCTCTGCCACAGGCCCTGACCCCACTCCACCCCTTCCTGCCCCCTCCCCTGAGTCTGCCGTGCCCTCGCTCCTCCCTCCTCCCCCTAGAGCCTCTTGTACGCCACGAAACAGCTGACCGGGAGGTGGAGGGAGGGGCAGGTGCTGATTGGCGGAGGTTCCGGTGGGCAGGAGGCACTGGGAGCGGGGGGAAGGGGGGAGCTGATGTGGGGGCTGCTGATGTATTACTGTGGCTCTTTGGTAATGTACACTGGTAAATTCTGGCTCCTTCTCCGGCTCAGGTTGGCCATCCCTGCAGTAGAGGCTCATGCGCCAATGACCGGGGTCTGTCAGCGTTACACTTGCTTTTGTGGATTGCATTTTTGGGTGCCTATTTCTCCCCATTCATTGTATGGGGAGTCTAGGTGCCTAACTCAGGCTTTGTGGATCCCAGTGTTGCTCCAATGATTTTCTAGGCACCTAAAAATTAGACATTGTGATGCTGGGCATTGCAATGCCTAGGTCCCTTTGTGGATATTGACCTCTCTCTTCTTTGGTTTAATCTTCAAGCTTGTAATCAACTTTTCCATTCAGTTTAGTTCCACACATTCTTCCCTCTCCCTATGTTAGGTTCTAGTCTTACAATTGCCACCTGGGCTATAAAAGGAAAAAGTAGTATATTTGCAATTTTCCTCAAGTACTTTTGATTCAAACATCTTTTGAAATGGCAGGAAACATTTCCAAACACTGTTTTCAGTAACAGTTCTGCTGCTACAAATGTTTTCTCTCCAAAAGCATGTAATTTATTAAAATAAAGTATGTTAATAGTAAAAAGCTATACAAAAACTGACACTTTCCAAAGTGATTGAAGCTACTGGTAAGGGAGTGAGCAATGTGTAGTGGTTAGAGCATAAAATTGGATTCTAATCCCTAGTTCTGCTAATAATTTACTGTTGGCCAAATTATTCACACCTTTGTGTGGCTTTCTCCATTTAATATTGGGGGGAAATAATTATTAAAGCCATTGGAGTGTTGAAATTTAAGTTGTTTCTTAAAGCACTTTGAGTTGCTTGGATAGAAGTTGCTTTAGAAGTGAAGTAGGTACATGTAACATTGACTATAGACTATAGTTTAAGACTAATTCCATCCTCTATTCTATCATCCCCATTTTTGCTTTCTCACATTCCTTCTATACTGAAATTTTCCATGTAGGCTCTCAGCCCAAAGGTGCATAAAAGGGGGGAAGGGGTGAGAAAAATAATTTGAGCTATGTGAGTGTGGAAAAAACACTTCCTCCATATACTCTAATCAGAAATTTTGCACTCTGACATAATTCAAACCTCTGACCAGAGGACCTTGGGATTACTTTGTGAAGCTCATTGACACTCAAAAAAAAGGTGACTTTTAAGAAAATCTGTTGAGTAAGTTTAAAATTATGCATGTCTAAATTCAGCAGTTTTGCACATGGACACAATGTATTTCCAGTTTTGTAGACTCACTGTAGCTATTTATTAAAAAACAAAACAAACAAACAAACAAAAAACAGTACCCCATTGATTTCAGTGGAATATATTATCTCCAAGAAAATTAATTTCAAGGAATTTAGTTAATATTTCTGGAGGGAAAAAAACTAGGGATAAAAGATATGGGGACAGTGCATTTTAGGGAGGGATACAAAGGAGAACTGCGTGCTGTGACTCAGGGAGGAGACTGAAATGGAGGCACTTGCACTATAAAATATACAAGATGCATAGCGTGGATGGTATAGAGTTGTAGGGACAACTGTAACTCTTAGAAATTTCTGACTTTATGAGTAGATGATCTCGCAAACTTTAATGTGGCATTAACACTAGTGTGTGCATTTTAATTAACAGTGCAAGGCATTAGACTCAGCTGCTCACCAAGGAAGTCTTTGTTCTCTACAACTAAACCTTGTACCACGAGGGGGGTAATAACTATATCCCCTCTTCAGTGACTGTGCCCGCCCCCAGGGGAACAACTGGAAACCACCGACTGCCTTTCGCCACCCTGATACAGCCGCTGAGATGTCCTGGCCTGGGGCAGAGGAAGCACGTGTCTCACTCCCTGCCCCACGGCCATTAACACTGGTCTCCCTCGGGGCCGGGCCTGGCAGACCCTCCCCATCCGAGCGTGACGTGCTTTAGGGAACACGCCTGGGATGCAAATGTATTTAGATTACACTACGGAGCGCTACCGGGTGCGCATGCGCAATGAGCACTTCTAGCACTCAATCACTTCCGGCTTTGTGGGCGGGTTAGAGGGGTTTATCGCCAAACTGCAGATTGACTGAGGCCATTTTCCGATCTGTCAAGTATCAGGAGGTAGCCGTGTTAGTCTGTATCTACAAAAACAACAAGGAGTCTGGTGCCACCAGACTCCTTGTTGTTTTTCCGATCTGTGTCTCCCTCGGTGATTGGCTACTGTAAAAAAACGCTGTGTGTTTGATTTTCTGGTTGGCTGCCGTAATCCCTACTTCGCCCCTATTGTGGTTCTGTCATGCTGATTGGTTCCTTTCATTTGCCAGTGTGCCTGGCCCGCTGATTGGCTGCTGCACGGCTACCACACGAGCTGCTTATATGTCCCGCTCGCTGATTGACTGGTCCAACCGTTTGTCCCCTCCCCCCCAAGCCGGGTGCGCGCAGCCCCTGCGCCGCCTGTGTTCGCCGAGCTAATAAAGTTTTGTTGGAAGAAAAGCGGCGTCTCCTCTCGCTCCTGCCCCGCCCTCTTGGAGCCGCTCGCCGCGCCCGGCCCCTCCCTCCCGGCTCGGGCCCTGGGGCGGTTGTTTCTCGCCCAGCTGCGTGCGCGCCAAGAGCTCGAGCCGGAGCCTCCCGGCGGCTCCTCCGCCCGCCCCGCTCGCCGCTGCTGCTGCCTCCTCCTGCGGGCACGGTAAGCGGCTCCGAGTCCGGCCAGGGCGGGGGGCTGCTCGGGGAGAGTCCCCGGGGTATAGACCCTCCCTTCCCGGCCGATACCGGGCTCCGCGCCGCTCCCTCCGCTGCGCAAACGCGTGTGGCCGCCGTGATTTAACGGGACCCGGGAGGGTGGCACCCGGGACTGCGCTGTGCGCCCTCCGCCGTGCGCGCGACGGTTAAACTGCTGCTCTGCCCCCGGGGAACGGACTCTAAGCACGCGGGGGGGCCGTGATGTCGCCTGCCTGCCGCTGGCTCCCCTGTCCGGCCGGGGCGAGGCTGTGGCGGAGGCAGCGCTCTGCCCCCGGGCGGCTCCGTGGCTGGCGCTGCCCGGCCTCGGGTTGGGTTCCCTGCAGCCGCTCGTGGGGAGCCGGTGCATCCCGAGGATCCCGCCTGCTCTCCCGCCCCGCAGTGCTGTCGAGGCGGCCAAGTGCCGGAGCCCTTCGTGGGGGGTGGCAGATCCGGGTCAGGGCTGAGGACCCTTCGCGAAGCAGACCCGCCTGAAAGGCTAATTGGGCTTCGCTGGTGCTCCCGCTTGCTCTTCAAGCTCAATGGACATTTGAGCCCCCCCCCCCCAAAAAAAAATGCAGGAAAAGGTGCTTAACATAAGTGTTTTCTCAAACTCAATAGTAATATCATTGTGGGGGAGGGACAGCAGCGCTCCGCCAATCTCTTCATCTTTATTCCCGTTTCCCCATCTGTAAAATGGGGGAAAGACTTGCCACCTCCCCGGGAGTTAGGAAACTTAATCAGTGTCTTTGAAGTGCTTTGACATACTCTGGAATAAATTAATATGGGTGAAAAAAGTATTCTTAATGCAATACCTATAATCCAGTTGGCAGTGAATTTGGTATCAGAAATCATGGGTTTTGACATTAAGGGGCTGAGGGTGCAGTTTCTTCATTTGTCTATAGTAGACCAGCTATGTTGGTGACAATGAGTATTAGCGAAAGGTGCCAGTGTACTAGTGCTGAGCATAGTTTAGCTGAAAGCATAATGTGTTCAGCATCTGGTGGTGTTAACCTCTGTTTCTGAAATTCCTGAACACTGTTTCTTTGTCTACACGTTAATCTTGTGTAACCCACTGTTTAACTCATTGTGGACATCTGTTATTAGCGGTGCTTCATTTTTCTAATGTAGAACGTGCCTTAGTTAAGACAGTGGTTACACCTTTAAAAGTATTTTGTAGATATACTAGCTTTTGGATGGCTGTCATTGACACTTCTCATTTCTTTTCCTACTTTAAAACATTTTTCAACTAATAAAACTAATTTTAAAATGTTTGCATTTGATACAGCTGAAGGACAAATTCATTACAGTTTTATTTGTTAATTCAACAGATGCAGTTTATGTTGCTTTTTAGTCGTCAGGGGAAGCTGAGACTTCAGAAGTGGTATGTCCCGTTGTCTGACAAAGAGAAGAAGAAAATCACAAGGGAACTTGTTCAGACAGTGCTGGCCCGTAAACCGAAAATGTGCAGCTTCCTGGAGTGGAGAGACCTGAAGATTGTTTACAAAAGGTGGTTCTGCCTCACTAAGCTTGTAATTACTAGACATCAAAAAAGATGTAATGAATAGCAAAGAAAATAATGAAAGTGAAATGTTTTCTCCCTTATGATGATGAAAACAGGCTGGTTTTGAGGTTTTTTTTCTTAAATCTTATTTGATAACCTAGTAGGAAGCATCCATGCGTAAAGAGCCACTCATGCATTTAGAAATGTGCTGAAGAACAAAGGTTAGATTTTCTTAAACTTAAGAATGATTCTTTCCAGTTCTGTGTTCAGCTGTCTAAGTAAAAGGATGGATACAAATATGAAAAATAATGTATGATTTAATGGCTATTTAGAATGACTAAATTCTATAAACATGTTTACCTCAAGCAGTGGATAACTATAAATTGGTTACAAATATAATTTGGGCTCAAAGGCACCAGATATATGAATAAGAAAAGATTTTTGCTGGCCGTACAAAAAAGTATTTTTTCACTTTGAGAAATCAAGATCAGTTTTCTATGGGTGAAAGTACTGTCTAATTTTCTTAGTCAGAAATCTCTTTGTACCTGTTTACTTGCAAAATGCTAAGGTTGTGCAGCTGTAATGTTTTGATTCTGCTCACCTTTTGAATGTAATACAAAACAGCTGTGAAATTGCTTTTCTCCACAAATTACTGTAACTGACATTCCAATGAGATGAAGGAAATAAATGCATCCTATTAAAAGCTAGTTTTATAAAAGGAGTTTAAAAAAAATGGCAGGTTAATTGATGCCAGGGAAAGTAATTTAATTTTTCCTTTGTTTTATTTCCTTGTTTTTCTTCAAGTTTGGGTAGTCATGGTCATCACACAGCTGAGGGAACACCACTAAGAGGACTGGATTTAAGTAGTGATAAAAACCACTTAGTGTGATAGTGCCTTTGGGCTTGGAGAAAGTGCATGCTTCCAAAGATAACGATGAAACCCAGAAGGAATAGGAGCAAGCTCGGGTGGCCCAAGAGTCCAAGAGCAGCCTTGGAAACAATCCTTCATATTCAGGGAGTTCTGGTAGTCTTTGTCCTGGGCAGGTAGCCAAAAGAGAACCAGACAATCTACAGAAACTAACAAACCTTGGCAGGGGTCACAATCCTTCTTAGCAAGAGATGCTTCATCTTGGTTGCAAGTTTGAGGATGCTACAGAGAATCCTGAGCCAATCCTCTACCAAGGTCTGCCTAATCTATCCCATAGTTTGGGGACAGTTTGACTCACATTGGGTAAAAACCATGACTTGTTAAAAAACTTAAAACATTTAACATTTTTTAGTTTCGTGTTGCTAGTTCTTCATGTTTTTCTTATTTCATAATCTAAATTGCTGAAATGCATGTTTTATACTTATTTATTCTAGAACTACCTAATTGTTATAATTTCAGATATTAGAGCAAGGTAGTAGGTTCACTTAAATCAAAGCGAATTTTAAGCAATCAATTTTAATGTTTTTGCCTTTGTACTCCTAAAGAGAGGTTGTTTAACTGATTGACAATACTTAAAACATGTTAATTTGCAACTAAATACATCCTTTATACTAAATTTGGTGCTGCTTTTTGCAAACTTAGGAGGAAATGTTATATCTATACACATTTATTTAAGCAGTTATATAGCTTACTTTACATTTATTCAGATGCTTAATTTTTTATTTTGTATTATGTTAGTAAACAATGAATAATGTGTTTCTTATTTGCAAGATTAATTCTTTTACTTGTTTGTTTTGAGCTCTTTGGATAGGAACTCAAATGCAATTAAAATGCAAGCAAAATTTTAAAGATTTTAATTAGTAAACTAAAGCTACCTTAAATATGCTGGATTCATAACAAAAAAAAAAAAGTATTCAAAACCTGCTTAAAACTAACTGATTTATTAAACAAAGTGTTACCTGCAGTTAGTGAATTGAACTAGTTGTTTCTGGTCACTGTGTCCTTCAGGATTTTAGAAATAGCAGATCTCAGCCTCTCACATTTAGTTTTTATTCATAGTTTGGAAGAGAAAACAAGCTTTACTGCTTTTCAACGTTCAAATGCTTTTTAACTTTGAATTAACTAATCATTGAATTTAAAATAGTTATATAACCTGAAATGAAGAAATTATTCTCTCTGCATCTGCAAAAGAGGCTACTGCTGTCAAAGCTGATTTAGTATTTCAACAGACTCTGGTTCCAGGTGTGTAGCCAACGATGTCTACCAGTTCAGTGGTTTGACTTTCTTTAAAACTTTGGCAGTAAACATATACTGCTCAAGTCCCAGGGCCTCATTAACATCGTTTTGTTGTGAGATCAATACAAACTCAGATACAAATTTGGTAAGCTTATAGCTTGTGCCATATATACGTCACCTGAAATACTCAATGTACACAAATCAAGAAAGCTGAAATGCTTTGATCAAGGCTGTAGCCCTTCATCATGGTTTGTATTGGCAAGACATCCTCTGAATTAAGTGTTTTAAGAGGAGAATCTGAAAATATATTTTCACATATATCAGTGAGAAAAAACACAGAAATAAACTCTTGCACATTCTCATCTCCAGAGGACCCACTCTAGACTTGACAAGAGATTTAGCTTGCCCGTCTCAGGGCTTGTTTTGGATATTTTGAGGTCCAAGCTAAGAGAACCAATATGACTGCCTTCAAGCATTGGGGCCTGACGAGGGCATGTGCCTTTGTTTACTCCTTCAAAAGATTACAGATGTGGCCCTTACAACTGTGGTTGAATTTGGTGTAGGTGCTTGCTCTTCATTGCCTGGATATGGAAGTGTGTTTCTTCAAGAGGTCAGGCTTGCTCCTGTTTTGATTATATGATTATTGCTGAATGTTTTGAAGGACAATGTTCTTTTCCCAGCCAGCATATCATTATAGGTACCTTTGCCTCCAGTTTGTGTTAGGGGGTTGCAACTTAGAAGCTTTTGTACTTAAATATATTTAAATTTCCCCCTCCAAACTGCATGTTGTAGAACTTGAACATGCATTCTAGTTAACACTTGCTTTAACCTAGTTGAAAATACTACACCAGCAGGGTTTCTAACCTTAAATTTGCCTTTAAATGTGGTTATGAAGGACAAACAGTCTTCTAAGAAGAAAAGTCCAGGTGATATAATCTTTTGTATTGTTGAAAAGTAATTTGATGTATTAAAACGGACTCTCAAAGGGTTGGGTTTAGTTTTAAAATCTGTATTTAGTTGTGGACACTGTATTATGACCAAGTGTTATGGAGTGGGAGTTCATTTGTTTTTGTTTTTTTGTTTAGTGACACAAAAGCTGTTTTGTCTGAAACAGGTCAAATTGTTTAATTATATTTAAGGCCTGTCCTTTTAAGAGCTTATTACTCATTTAACTTGAAATGAAGGTCTGCTATTGTCATGAGATTCAAATTATCCTTAAGCATTGGAAGGGAAACAATTTAGCTGAACATAGCAATAATCAGCTGACATTAAAATGAATGTGGAGAAAGTCACGTGCCTTGAGTAACAGAATAGAAGTATTCAGACAGATTTGCTTTGAGTGCTAGTAATTAGAGTAAGCTTCAAATCGTTGTGCTAGAAAAACGCACAGATATTTTTCTCTTTCCAGACTGATGTTTTAATGTTAATGTTTTATTTATAATTTAGATTTTCAAATCTTATCTATTGGATGCTTGCTGTACTCTTTTAAAAACCAAGCCAGTAGAAAGTGATTTACCCAACAACTGTGTATAAAAGACATAATTTGTTTTGTAATGCATTAAAAAAATCCTCTGAGTTACTGTTTTTATTTCTGTTGAATCAGGTTTGACAAAAAAAGCTTTAAAAAAAAAAAATTGAAAAGGCCTTTTCAATTTTCTAACAAGCTCAGTTTGACGTGAGAGAAGCCAATGGTTAAAAAGGCCATAGAAATTGAAATATTATTTGATCCATGGAGGTGATCGCTCTCAGTTCTTTTTAAGGAACATCAGTCATACTATGTGGGCAAGCTTGCAGTGCTGCTGCCTCTAATCTGTTACTTCTGAGGATACACAGATCTTAGTTTCCAGGACTGAGAACAATCTGACACCTTTCAGGAGCACTAATTTAACTGACATGGGGGCTGGAGTTTTTATAATAACATAAAGATAATTTTGTTGTTGCAGATATGCAAGCCTTTATTTCTGCTGTGCTATTGAAGATCAGGACAATGAACTGATAACCCTGGAAATAATTCATCGTTATGTGGAACTACTTGACAAGTATTTTGGCAGTGTAAGTTAGTGACTCTGATTTTGGTTTCAGTTTTTACAAAATTCCATTATATATTTTTGTTAATATAGTAAGTGCATCATCTTCTTGCTTAGTGTACAAGATATTTTAAAAGTGATATGTTTTCTGCTGGACATGGATATCTGATAGATATAGATATATATAGATATAGATATATATGGCAAATCTTACATCACTTGTTCTGCCAAATCAACCTGGTAACTAACCTATCTTCACAACACCCTTGTCAGGGGAGGAGGTGGTTGTATGTCCTGTTCCCCTCTCTCCCCCCAGGCTCCTTCCCAATCTACTTTCCTTCAGCTGCAATTTCAGGAAAAGTTCTGTGCAGCCCCCTGCAGCCCCAGTCTAGAGCATACTCAGTGCAGATAGAATTATAGTTAGCTATGTTGAAATTCAAGCAAATCTCTACTAGCAGATGCGAACTGTGGTTTTTCAGATGCTTGTGATTTGGCCCAGTTTGGGTGGATTCTCATGGGGACAGTGAAAGGCGCATCCCTGACACAAAGGCCTCCCTCCTGCCAAATTTCAAGTCCCTGCTCCAAAGCATGGGGGTACCAGAGCTTGTCAGAGAAACGATCCCCGGAATTTTTTAACATGGGCAAGATGCATTTCTCACTAGCCTCATTCTCAGAAGTGGCGGGACCACTTTGGCTGAAATTCTCCACAAAAAATTCAGCTTTAAGAAAATGCCTGAAATGGAAATTTTCAGCCCGAACAGTTAATTTGGCAAAGTTATGAGCAAGTGAAAGAAGAATCTAATAATAGGAAGTGTTGGGCAACCTTAATAAGGCATGCTACCCCCCCATCACAACATTTACTGTGCTTTTCAGGTGTGTGAACTTGATATCATCTTCAATTTTGAAAAGGCTTATTTTATTCTGGATGAGTTCCTGTTGGGAGGGGAAGTTCAGGAGACCTCCAAGAAAAACGTTCTCAAAGCCATTGAGCAGGCAGATCTGTTACAGGAGGTAAGCAAATGGTACTTCTCCTGCCTAAGCACCAGCATGCTGTGCTATGGCTAATGAAGGCTCTCACTTTTCTAATATGGTAGAAAGCGCTTTTTAGCATGCTTAGCATGTAATCTCCTGTTAGTTTTTCTGTTCGTGTAGTATATGTACTACCACAGTATTATCTTTCAGCTTTTTTATTCTTTTCACCTTGTATTCAGTACACACATATGTAAAGCTTCTTTTTAAAGCTTTAGATTTATTTAGAGATTGTCCCTATGTTGTATGTTTTGCTAGAATTGCAAGCTACCTAATATTTATAGATGTTGCTCTTTTTAATTTATCCATATCTCTTCCTTAGATTTCTTTTTTGCACTTTAATAATCTTGATAATTATCACTAGTTTTTTGTCATACCTGATGCATGTGTGCTTCTTTACTGTTTCACTGCTCAAATCCAGAAGCTAGACTCTCTTCTTTGAGCCTCTTTCAGGTATAGTTAATATTAACTATTCTAAAGGCATTATGTCTTAATGTTGTAGTTTAATTTATTTTAAAATATAAATGCATTATAAAGTTAGAATAATAGTTAGTCAGTAGTCATAGAAATATATAGAATGAAGTAGAAAAGACATTCAAAACTTCACCCATTATTCAGTTATTGAAATAAAAATATTTCCACTGTTAATTTCTGACTTTGGAGAGCTGTTAAAGTATGAACTCAGATCTTAAACCCAGAGTTTGGAAAGCAATTTTTTTTAATTGTACCGCAAAATCCCTAGTAATAAAGTAAATTTTAAAAAGCCCTCTTCTCTCTACCAGCCCCTTTGTATTTTATTATTTACTAACGATGTTCTCAAGGTTATAACATTGAACTAGCAGTTCAGACCCTGCCAATGACACCTAGTAAGATCTTGGGAAAGTCACTTAACTTCTCTGTGCACCAATTTGTGACAGGGATGTACAATTTGCCCATCTCATGTGCATGTTAAAGTTTAAGGCTTCTAAAATGTTTAGAGGTCACTGGTAAAAGATGCTATATAAATGCAAAATAGTATTTGAGCTTTGTCCTATGAACATTTTAATGGGTTATTATTTTGTCTTGTGAGAGATCTGTTTCTGTTGATCTGTCATGTGAGCGCTCCATATTTCTGAGGTTCTCCTTCTGCCGTCCTTGCTATTGCCCCAGGAACATCTTATTGCTAAATTATAGGATTGAAAAATTATCCCATCCTTTATTCTCCACTCTCATAGTTTAGTTGCATTTTGTAATCCTATTACTTGAGGTGAAAGTAAGAGGATGACATACCAGCTAAGACTCATTTATAGATAGAGGTGCTAATAAACTGTGTGATGTATCCTTTTTTGGTTTGGGAAGCTTAATTATTCCTATTTTCAAAGGATGCTCTGAAACCTTCCTCTCATCACTCCTTTATTGTGGTAAGAGGGGAATTTCCTAATGAGGTGGATATTACAGGCCTACTGAAATTTTAGCTGTTTGGTACTCTACTAATGCTATATATTGTTATGGCATACAGAAAATGTTCCATGGGGTTTTTCATCTAAAGCTTTTGCTTTCTTAGAATCAAAGAATTGCAGAAGTTACAAATGGGAAGTGACCTAGTAAATAATCGGTCTCCCTGCAAATGCATGATTGTTCCCTACAATGTCAACATTTTGCAGCATTTTGTCCAGTCTAGTTTTAAAAATTACAAGCAATGAGACTTCCTTTGGGAGGCTGTTTTATTGTATCCTACAGTCAGAAATAATTCCTGATATTCTGCCTAAAATTTACCTTTAATTTCATTCTACTACCCCTAGATTATTTTGACACTAAAAATAAATAATACAAAATAAAAAAATTGCCTCCCTTTTTAATTTTTTTACAATGGGAAATTTTCTCCTTCTCTCCATTTTCTTTTTAAATGTGGACATTGCTTCTTTGAAACAGTGTTTTATTTATTTATTTATTTATTTCCCCCCCCAAGCCTTCTGATTTCTTTTATGATCCCTGGGTTAACTATTTTTCCTGATTGTAACCAATAAGTAACAAAAATCTGTATCCTTGTTGCTTTTGAAGTTTATTTTACATTGTGGTGGAAATGTAATTGAGATTTTTTCACCGTTTGATAGATTAATGATGTCAATTAAATATAAAATGGCACTCTTTATATGGCTGCTTTTTTACTTCAGTGGGAGTTCAGTTTAAGGACTTCAGGATTTTAAAGAGGTTTAACACAAAATTATATATTTTAGTGTAGGATCTTTCCTTTCATGCTAGTTGATGCAAAGTGAATCCAGAGTCTGACAATGAAGAATACTGAAATGTTGAATTCATATGTCACCATTGGAGGATCTTTTTATTTCAGTGAATTTCTGTTTCTCTGAATAGTTTAGAAAAAGTCCACAAGAATAGAATACATTCTTCAGTTCTACCAATCCCAAATTTTTTCAAACATCAGTATGCTTTTTTCTCACCAGATCCACTCCTCATATGCACAATATATCTCAAAGCTAAAGATTTTCTTTGAGCCCTAAATGGATTGTTACTTGACAGTCATTTAAAAAAAAAAATTAAGTACTGTATTTTTAATACATTAAATGTAATGTATGTATCATTAACTGGTTAGTGTTTCTAACACATTTTGATGATGATTAGCTGTTCAGAAATGTTTATCACACAAAGGAACATCATTTTACAGATCTTAAGTGGGAGGAAGCAATGGCTGTTGTGAGTAATATTAAAAGGAAAACATGCACAGGCAAGAGTTGTTTGAAGAGTGAATTGGCCTCTTATAGGCTTGTCCATTTGTATTCCCCTGGCAGTTTTCCAGGAGATGATTTATATTGTAGAGCACCTTTTTAGAGTATCATGTACTTAACCTTTCTGTGCTGTTATAATCACTTACAAACACTCAGGGCTTGTCTACACTGAAAATGCTGCAGCTGTGCCTCTGTAGTGCTTCAGTGAAGACAGGAGGGCTTCTCTCATCAGCGTAGGTACTCCACCTCCCTGAGAGGCAGAATTCTCCCATCAACCTATTGCTGTGTACACCAGGGGATAGGTCGGTTTAAGTGCATTGCTCAGGGGTGTGGATTTTTCACACCCAAGAGCGACGTAGTTATACTAATGTAATTTCCTAGTATAGAGCAGTCCTCAGTTCAGTTAGCGCTCATCTCACTAATGTACTGATTTTGGAGACTTACATGCTGTGGTTTCATGTGTACTTGATGCTCATTTTTCTTTAGTGTTCTTCTTAGCTCCCTTCACAATGACAACACATTGAGTCTTTTTGTATCTGGTGCTGGCCACTAAAGTTATCAGTGATACACAGCTCACCCTCATCTTTAAAAGAGCTGCAACCCTGACGGTAGTTTGACATTCTGTGTGTGGAGGTGCAGAGGGGCACATGCGTTTCCATTTGAGAAGAATACATTTTTTGTCATACTATGGAACTGTGAAATAAAATTTTTCAGGTCTTGATGTGCTCAATTAACCATGTTGCATTGTAATTATATTTACAAGAGCCAGTTTTCCATGCCACTTCCCTCTATTCTTCTTTTCTCAGGTTGGCATTGAAATTAGTACGGTATTCCAGAAAATCTGTAGCAATTTCTAATCTCTGTATGCACTTTTTTCTTCTGTGTGGATATTGCTTTTTTCATTTTATATTTTATCTTTGTTTCCTGATGTAAGCATCAATTCAGCAAAGCATTTAATCACAGTCTTAAGTAAATCCTGGTTTAGTAGAGCACTTAAGCATTGTGGTTCACTTTAAGTTAAGGAAGTGTTTAAATGCTTTGCTGAATCAGGGCCTTATTTGATAATCCACTGCCTGTTTTATTGCAGTTACCAGTCTATTTTGTAACTCAAAACAGTTACTGAGGCATACTTTTGTTAAAAGATGACATTTTGCTTTTGAGGTCATAGCTCAACTCTTTGCCTGTGGTGACTTTTTTCTTCCATAAGCATAAAATGTTATGGCGTTTGTGCTCATTTATGTATCTCATATTGAACAGCTGAAAAGTAATTTTACTTATGCATCATATTTTTGTGGATGAGTAAAGGTCATGTGGCCAATTTCATGATTGTTTACAATTCCAGCTAAAACTGCTAATTGTTTTTAATAATACTTGACATCGTAACAAATAAATAACACAAACAATATAGTTTGCATTGTTATTGTAGCATGGTGATACCAGGATTTGAGACAAGGTTGGTAAATTTACATCTTTTATTGGACCAACTTCCGTTGGTGGAAGAGACAAGCTTTAGAGCTCCACAGACCTCTCTTTCAGGTTTGAAAAAGGTTAATTGCCTATTCCGTTTTAAGAAGTTTCTTGCAACGTGTGTTAATCTCTTATTCTTAACAATCTGTCCTACCTTGTATTTAGCTGTGATACTCTGGCTACCTTTTTCAGACTTGAAGATGAGCTCTGTGAAGCTCGAAAGCTTGTCTCCCACCAACAGAAGTTGGTCCAATAAAAGATATTGCCTCACCCACCTTGTATCTCTGAGTATAGTACACAACAATAATGAAGTATCAGTTTTTCACTTAGGACTATAGGAATTGCCATTCAGTAATTCAGTGATGGCCATTAGTATGAGATACTGTCTCCGACTAATACTGTGCAAACCTACATAATAGTCCCAATACAAGTATAGTTACAGATACTATTATATACATTTAATAATACATAAAGAATTAAACAAAACAGTTACCATCAGTGTTTACTAAAGAAAGAACATAACTGTTAAAGGCTTGCCAGCTGGTGAGATTTTTTTTTGTTGATTTTTTTTTTACTAACAACATTTCAAAATAGTTTTGTAGTCTTTTTTTTTTTTTTTTTGTAGGTTAATTTTTCTTTCACTAGAATTTCCCAAATCTTGTTCAACCCACGTATTATCACTGGAGGTTATTTATTCCTCCAGGGGTCTTCAGCAGAACAGTTTGGATATTTCACTGTAAATATTGATGTTTATGTTCAGTGGAAATTCCAACAGTCTGGACAAAAGGTCTG